AACTAAAAACGATGAAAAAAATCAAAGACTTAAGAGATATATCATGTTCATGGATTGGAAGACTCAGTATTGTTAACATATCAATTCTCTTCAAATTGATGTGTACATTACTTGCAATTCCAATCAAAACTTTAGAAGGATTAAAAAAATATTGAGGTGAAATTCACGTAACATAATTAATCATTTTAAAGTGAACAGTTCAATGACATTTAATATACTCACAGTTCTGTGCAACCATCACCTCTATCTAGTTACAAAACATTTTCATCATCCCCAAAGAAGACCGTTTATCTGTTAAGCAATCACTCCCTTTTCCCCCACCTTTTTCTCAGCCCCTGACAACCACCAATCTGCTTTCTGTCTCTGTGGCCTATTCTAGACATTTGTATAAGTGGAATCATATAATATATGGTCTTTTATATCTGCTTTTTTTCACTTAGCATGTTTTCAAGGTTCATCTACATTGTAGCATGTATCAGAACTTCATTTCTTTTGTGGCTGAACAATATTCCATTGAATGGATAGGTCATATTTTGTTAATTCATTTGTCGATTGATAGGCATTTGGGCTGTTCCCACATCTCGGCCATTATGAAAAGTGCTGCACCATATGTGCATATGTGGACTTGAGTCCCTGTTTTCAGTCGTTTCGGGTCAGATGGATTTTTCAGGCTTTCAATGCACCTTCCACAGTTTTTCTGTTCCCTTCATGTTTTACTTCTCTTTGTCCTTCTGTTTAATAGACCTGGACCTAGGACCATGGGAAGTTGGTTCTGCTACAGAGTTCTCGTTACAAGTGCTATGGGGGATGTTTTCTTTATAAATATCTTGACCAATGAGGATTATTGACTACAAATACCAGCAACAGACTCTAGCTAATTTAAGCAGAAATAATTCAATGAGATAATCTTGTACCTCACAGAATTCACAGGAATCTGGGCCATCAACCTTGAGAATGTGTGGCAACTGGGGGAGAGTGGGCATATAGGGACAACCCAGCACACCTTAGGAAGAGCTAGATCAGTAGGCAGCCCTTAGCCTCCAGACTTTGGACAGTGGATACAGCCATCACTGAGGTGAAGCACACTGTTTAGCTCCCTGCAGACACACACAGACATATATAGAAAGACACAAATGTACACACACATACCCAGTACTCTCATGTGCAGAGGCAGAGCTCTCCAAGTCAGCCTGAGTTATAGCTATTTGGAAAGTCCAATAGAAGGCTTGAGAATAGCTCCTCTGGTCCTATGTCGGTTGGAAAAGATCCCTTCTCATAGAATCATTTTTCTGTGATTTTTCTTAAAGACCAGTCCTGTCTCCTTGTCTGGTAGAACACAGGATGCTTTCTTGAATAAAAACTGAAGTAGTGCTGCTCAAACTATCAGTTTTAACAGATCAGTGTTGCTTTTTTTCTAATTTGTTTTTGGTTTCTTTTTGGAGGCTATAAGAAGAATCTTCCAGTTCATACATTTTTTTTGTTATTTTTGTTTTTATTGATTGAAATATAACTGACATATAATGTATAAAATCAGGGTGTACAATTTAAGGTTTGATACATTTATTGCAATATTTTTAATTTAAATTCAATTAAGCAACATATAGTACATATTTAATTTTAGATGTAGTATACAATAATTTATCAGTTGCATATAACACCCAGTGCTCATCACATCATGAGCTCTCTTTAATGCCTACCATGGCTTTAGTTAGCACCTCTATCATGTCACATAATTATAATTTCTTTTTGTGATGAAAACAATTAAGATCGAGGGTTTTTTTTTTAGCAACTTTGAAGTTTATAATACAGTATTGTTGCTTATAATCACTATGCATTAGATGTCTAGAATTATTTATTTACCAGTTGTGAGTTTGTACCCTTAAACATCTCTCTGGTCTTCCCACCCCCAGGCCCTGGTAACCACCATTCTATTTTCTGTTTTTACAACTTGGGCCTTTTTAGATTTTCATAGAAGTGATATCATACAGTATTTGTCATTGTCTGACTTACCTCACTTAGCATATTGGCCTCGAGCAAATGGCATGATTTCCTTCTTCTTCATGGATGAATAATATCCCATTGTGTGTATGCATGTGTGTGTGTGCATGCACATGTGTGTAAGTTTGTGTGTGTATGTTTATGTGTATTACATCTTCTTTATCCATTCATACATTGTCAGATATTTAGGTTGTTTCCATTATCTTGGCTATTGTGAATAATACTGCAATGCCAGTAAGATCTTTTTTTTTTTTTTTGTAGAAATCAACAAATTGATTCTAAAATTTGTATGAGAAGGAAAAGAAAGTAGAATATTTAAAATGATTTTAAGAAAAGGACATAGAAACAGAACCCTCCCATTATCATATTTCAAGACTTACTAAAAAGCTACAGTAATCAAAATAGTGTGGGATAACTAAAATATGTATGTATAAGTCAACCATATATAATAGAGTCCAGAATATGACCTGTATATGGTTAACTGATTTTAAACAAGGCAATTTGAAGGAGATGGCTATATGACACTCCACAAAGAATATATCCAAACAGTTAGCAAACATATGTAAATGTGTTTGTTCATTTTCATTAATCATCAAGGAAATAGGATGCCATTGTCCAACCTTCCAAAAGGCTAGAATTAGAGACTAAAAATTATAATTGTCAATGAAGATATCAAGCAACTGGAACTCTTATATACTCTTGCTGAGAGCATATACTCTTCAATACTCTTAATACTTAAATATTCTTAATACTTAAATACTCTTGCTAAGAGCATGAACTCTTAAATATTCTTGCTGAGAGCATACAACTATTTTGGAGAGGTGTTTGTTTCTACTAAAACTAAACATTTGCATATGCCACGACACATTCTACTTCTAGAAGTATCCCAAAAGAAATATATGTCTTGGTTGGGGGAGCTAATATGGTGGCATAGTGAGAGGGCTCTACGCTTGCCTTATCCCTTGAACAAAGCTAGATAACTATCAAACCATTCTGAAGACCCAAGAAATCAACCTGAGAACTGATAGAACAAACTGTACAACTAGGGGGAGAGAAGAGATCACATCGAGGAAGGTAGGAATTACAGAGACCTGGTTTGGGGGAGAAACAGATCACAGGTGCTGCAGAGGGGAGAGGGCCATAGTCATGGAGAAAGGTGAGAGAGAGTGGAACATATAGGGATACACACAAGGAGAACATTTCCCCAAAGCCGTTGGCTGGGAAAATGAGAGGGGCTGATTTTCCTGAGTTTTTGCAACCAGCAGGACTCAAAGACTGGGGTTTTAATGGTTGGTGGGCTTGACTGAGATAGAGACCTGAGGGTGCTGCCCTACTTCTGGAGAGAAGGTAGGCAAACAACTCTGGGGCAGACTAGGTGATCTGAGGATCACCTAAGATACACAGGGGAGAGACTGTTCACTCTTCTTGGAGCACATTTGCAAGAGGTGGCATTCACAGTTGCCTCTCTGGGAACAAAAGAGCCAGTGGGAGCTATTTCCCTCCCCTGCCTCTCAGCATAGGTGCGGAGACACTTGCCGAGGACAGCTAATCTGGACACTGGCTGTTCAGCTTGCTTTGCTCCAAGTCCCATGTCCCTGCACTCTGGCATGACTGCCCTTCTTGGTCAAACCTGCATCCATTCTTCCCACAGAAGACCAGGGCTCTGCCACAGCACGTCCCTAAAAGTTGGAGTTTTAAAAGTCAGCAGATTGGCTCGGACAGAGCCCAAAGTGCATTGTGCTGTTCCAGGCAGGCAACAACCTGGAGACAGCGTGAAAACAGCGATCAGAAAAATGGGATGCACAAGGGGGAAATTATTTGCTCTTCTAGGGGTCTGTCCTTGATAGCAGCAAGCAGAACAACCCCTCTCAGGGGACAAAGGAGCAGGCTAACACTGTTTCCCTCCCCTACCCCTCAGCATAATCCAACTTCAGTAAACAACACAGTACCAATACTGGCTGCCTAACTTGCTTACACCAAGTCCTGCTGCCCTGTGCTCTGCTGGGACTGCTTTTTTTGGGTAAGTGTGCCCAAGGACCAGCCCAGAAGACCTCTTCCCCAGAAGACTAGCACAAATCCCTCCATGCACCCATGTCTGACCCTATGGAAACAGTATGGAATTTCTTCAAAAAGTTAAAAATAGAACTACACTATGATCTAGTAATGGCCCTACTAGGTATTTACCCAAAAGATACAAAAATACTGATTCAAAAAGATACATGTACCCCAATTTTTATAGCAGCATTATCATGGAAAGAGCCCAAATGTCCATTGACTGGTAAATGGATAAAGATGTGATATATATGTACACTGGAATATTACTCAGCCATAAAGAGAATGAAATCTTGCCCTTTACAGTGATATGAATGGAGCTAGAGAGTATTAAGCTAAGTGAAATAAGTCAGTTAAAGAAAGACAAATACAGTATGATTTCACTCATATATGGGATTTAAGGAACAAAACAAATGAGCAAAAGGAAAAAAAAAAAAAACAGAGGCAGACCAAGAAACTGACTCTTAACTGTAGAGAACAATCTGATGGTCACTGGAGAGGAGGTGGGTGGGGAGGCTAGTGGTGGGATGTGTTACACAGGTGATGAAAATTAAGGAGGGCTCTTGTGATGAGCACTGGATGTTGTGTGTAAGTGATGAATCACTAAATTCCACATCGGAAACTAACATTGCACTGTAACGTTAACTAACTGGAATTTAAGTAAAAACTTGGATGAAAAAAAAAGTAATGCATGCTTCAGAGCCCTGAAATACATGTTTAAGAATATTCATAACAGTATTATTAGTTATAGCCCAAGACAGGAAGTGCTCCAAATGACCATTAGTAGAATGGATAAATAAATTAGAATATTATTACACAGAATACTATATAATAATGAAAAAGAACAAACCACTGCTACATACAATGTCATGAATGAATTTCACAAATGTAATGTTGTTGTTTTAAAGTTCATTTATTTACTTATCTCTCCACCCAGTGTGGAGCTCAAACCCATGACCAGGAGATCAAGAGTCACATGCTCCCCCAACTGAGTGGGTCAGGCATGCTTGGAAAAGTTTTCAATTAGCAATAATCATTCCTCAGATAAACCTCCCTGGCTGTGATACTGGCAGTGAGCAAAGCTACAAATGTAACATTGTTAAAATCAGATGTAAAAGGATATACACTATATGATTCTATTTACATAATGTTCAAAACAGGGAAACTGTTATATTTGAAATCATGTACTTGGTTACATTTAGGAGGAGAGAGGAATGATTGGCATGGGGTACAAGGAGAGACTTCTGAGGTGCTAGTAAATAGTTCATTTTTTAACCTGTGTGGTGGCTATGTTCACTTTGCGAAAATTCTTCAGGTTGTGTGGTTTTAATCTGAGTGCTTTTCTTTATGTAAATCTTTCTTTAATAAGAAATTTATTTAAAAATACATATGAATGTATATGTTTGGTTTTGCCTTTTTTGATCTTAAAATGGAATCAAACTGCACATATTCTTAAATGATTTGCTTTTTTCATTTAATGTTTTTATTCTGGAATTATACATTATTTGTATATTTATTTTATATGTTTATATAGGTAACTAAAGTTAGATCACTAGATCTCTATATGATCATTACTATGTTTGAGGAAAATCACTCTTGTTGTTATTTGGGAAACAGATCTGAGAGGGAAAAACTAGCAACAAGGAAACAGGTTAGAAGATGACTGCCCAAATTTTGGACAAATTAAGGTGACCTGATCAAAGGCAGTGGAAAGAACAATGACGATGGGGCCTGAGGTTTAAGAAATGTTCTTGTAACATTCCCATAAGAGCCAGCAAACTAATTGGATATTGGAGGTAGTAGAAAGTAAAAGCTCTAAGATAATTTCCATGCTTTTTACATGAGTGATAGGCTGGTATTTCAACCCTAGCTACACATCAGAATCGCTTAGAGGGCTTTTTAAAAATAATAAGACTGTACTTTCCCCTTCAATAAAAAACTAAATTAAATTAGAATACCTGAGAGTGGGGCCCATGGTTTGGTACTTTTTCAATATTCCAGGCAATTTCATTCTGTGGCTTGGCTAAGCACTTTAACACTAGACTTTAAATCTCTTATGGACTGGGAACATCTAATTTGTTACTGAGTCCTCAGAATCTGGCATATGTTTTATTTTCAGTGTATGTTTAACAGAATTAATAGATGAGTGAAGGATTATAGGAAAGAGGAACAAGTTCTGGGCAGAACAGTTTCTGGACATCTTGAATTGGAGATGCTATAATGTGTCCATGAGGTGACATGAGGTGGACATATAAGGGCTTGAGGCTCTAACTCCAGAGAAAACTTGGGGTTGAAATGTAAACTTAGGAAACAGGGAAAAATAGGTGGTGGTTTGAGTCACGGATATAGATATAAACATGGCTCCAGAGGACTACAGAGTTTGAGAAACAAGAGGAAGAGGCAATCTAGAGGAACAGATGAATGAATAATCCAGCCCCTCAGTTAGTGACCATAATCTTGGTCCAGGAATTGCATTGTTTCCTGTACTCCCCTCCTGCTAAGGTCTAGGACCCCAGTTTCTACTAACAAACATTCTAGATGCAGCTTCCTTCTGCCTGATTGTGAGCCCTTTGACTTTCTGTACTTCAGATCCCCAGTGGTTGCCTTACTCCCATGATGGTGTCTAATTCCAGTTCCCTGGCTTCCTAAGTCTTTAGTGTTCAGCCGCAGTTATTTTGTTGTTGTTAACTCATAATACAGAACATGATGGTTATAATAGAGAGAAAGATTTTTGAGGTTTTTAAAGCTCTACAGTTTTTTTTTTAATGAATATGCATATATCTTCTTTTTGTAAAAATTTAGTTAATGAAAACCTTATTTAGATCATTTTAATCTGCAATCATCATTAAAACCACAAATGTGTATATTTTATTATCTTGGAGAATTAAAGGGTGAAAACACCCCACTTATATATAAGAACATTACCACTTTCAAGTGTGTTCACTAGTTTTTTGCTCCATCACAAATATCTCTTTATTTATAGTCTGAAATAATCACCACTAGTTGGGTGCAAACAGCTTTCTGTTTATGCCATTAAAAATAATGGTGCATGAAAATGTCTCAAATTTAAATGTTATAAGGCTTAGTCTTAAGTTTATGTCAAGGTATCAGACATAGTGAATTCCTATATATAAACTGGTCTGATTATGTCAGAAAATATTTCTAGGCAACAATTCATCTTACTAATATGTAATCAAGAAACAGCATTTGTTAGCTCCTTGGTATTTTGTTTTGGTGATTGTTGCATTAAAAAAATACCTATTTTTGTTTTATCTTGAGAGTCTGCCAAATAAATACTTTGAGTTTAATACTTTGTTGACCACTTGCTATGCGGGGAATATTGAGATAAATAGCCCATGTTTTTAAGAATAGTATGCTGCTTCAGTCAGGCTTCCACTAGAGAAGCAGGATCAATGGGACACACACACATCTATCTATATCTACTTCTGTTTATATAGGAAGGAATATATCATAAATTTTTGATCTTATGCAATTACAGGAGCTAAAGAGTCCTTGGAGGCTATTTCTTCTATATCTAGAGCTGCATCCCAGAGACTGCAGCAGTCAAACAGGCATTTGGGAAGGGCAGATGGATGTGAAGTGGGGGAAGCAAGGAACAAATGACTAACCTACAAAGATGAACTGGAACTTGTCAGTATCTCTCTGTCTTTACGCCTAGAGGGCAGGGTTTCTTGCAGGTGAAGTCGGGGCTCTCTCATAGGGCTTAACAAGCTCAGGAGTCAGAGAAGCTGAAGAAGGAGCCAGTAGGTGGTGTGGCAGCTGCTGGCTTCCCTGAAGCCTGCACCACCCAGAGAAGCCTGACAGATAAGCAGCCGTGGGAGATGCAGCCGTGTCTCATTCCTGCACTGAGCTTCCAGGTGTACAAAGTGAAGATGGCTGTTGTTTCATCTCCACATTTCAAGTCTTGCCTAATGCCTCTTGCAGCCCAGACTAACCCAGAACTATGCAGGGAAGAGAATTCTGGAAAATACAGTTCCATTCTAGCTAAGTTGATATGATGTAGATACATACGCTTGTCCATTTGTCAGTCATTAAACACTAACAGCAACCTTGTGAAGAAAATCAAGAAATATATATTCATGTTACTGATGAGAGAGGACATAGAGTCTCTGAAAAATCATGTGACTACCGAGGCCCCAGGTAATGAGAGGAGGGTGGAACCAAGGCCAGAGTGTTGGTCTTCTGATTCTCAACCCTGTGCCCTTCTAGCTCTCCCACTGCCTGTAGATAATGGTGCCACCCCCAAAGATTATATTGCTCCCTAGTGGCATTTATGTAGATATGATGCATTTTTTTCCCCAATCTTACTTATATGACATTCATATTGAAATCACTGGGCCGTTTCAATAAATCTGGGAGGACTAGATAAGCAAGCAGTTGTTCTCAATGAGGGGAACACTAACAAAAGTTCAAAAAAACTGATTTAAATTTTAAAACAATGGATTTTGCTTTCTTTGCTTTTCTTTTCCTCTTCTCTTAGATTTTCTTCTTTAATAGTTGCAAGGACAATGATTTCAGAAATGATTTGTGTTACTTGAGTGGACTGCTTTCTGGATGGTATTGTGTGACTCTGTTGCATTGGTGCCCACTCATTCCATTGTGGCTGGATAATGTACTATTATTTCAAAAGGTCAAAGTCTCAAATTTCTCTAAAGATTACATTGTGGGTAGAAGCAAAAAAGGAGGAGTTGTGAGTAGTGGGTATATTTAACAAGTTAATCCTTGGTAATTGAGAGCTAAACACATACAGGTTGTCTAATAAGAATTCATTTTCAGGGGTGCCTGGGTGGCTCAGTGGGTTAAGCCTCTACCTTCAGCTCAGGTCATGATCTCAGGGTCCTGGGATTGAGCCCCGCATCAGTCTCTCTGCTCAGCGGGGAGCCTGCTTCCCTCCCCCGCGCCCCACCTGCCTCTCTGCCTACTTGTGATCTCTCTCTCTCTCTGTCAAATAAATAAAATCTTAAAAAAAAAAATTCACTTACATGGTTGAAAAATGGTAACATCCAGAGCATAAATTCTTGTGCCTGTGAGTTAGGGTTAACATGGTATTAGCTACTGCTCTTCCGTGGAGGGTTAAATAAAAATCATTTAGCTTCTTTTTATCTCTGCTTCTTTTTATATAAATTGGGACTAATCTTTCCCCCACCACTTCCTACACAGACATAAGCTGAAAATTAATAGTTAGCAATATAAATGTTTGGATGAGACAACGGGCTACAGCTCTGTAAATGCAATCTTATATTCAGTCTCGGTTTCTAATCAGGATTTCTGATTCTGATGAAGATAAGTCCTCAACACATTGAAAATCAACTGCTATCTCATCTCCAGCAAACTCACATATTGCAACCCACTTCAAATCACTTTCTTTTTAGTTTATAATCAATAACTCAAGAAAAAAAACAGTATGTTAAGTGATACTCTTTCTCAAGTTTCTAAAAATGCACTAACATTCTGGCTTGTCAGATGTCTAATTCATCCTACTTGAACTCTGCTTTGTAGAAAATTTCTAGTGCGGTGCCTAAACATAAGAGTATTTTATAAATATTCGTTTCCTTTTCTCTTCATCAGTCTCGGAAATATTACTGTGTAGCAAAGTTTTTCCAATTAAATCTTCATTTATTCCAGGTAGAATCGTAGACTTTCTTTTTGGGTTGGAAGCAACCTATTGTCAAAAGTAAACCTTATCTTTATTTCATAATTAAAAAGCAATCAATGTTTATTTTTATTTTTACTTTTGGGACAGATTTGGGGACCAATAGATTTAGTGCTGGGCAAGAGAAAACAAAGAAGGAGGAGTACACTATTTATGCTGGACCCTTTGGGGGCTGTATTTTCAGAGTTGCATTCTCTTATTCTAATGCCCCTGAAAATATGATTAGGAATTTTGTTCTGGATCCAATTTTTTAAAAAGATTTATTTATTTATTTATTTATTTATTTATTTATTTATTTGACAGACATCACAAGTAGGCAGAGAGGCAGGCAGAGAGAGGAGGAAGCAGGCTCCCTGCCAGAGAGCCCAATGTGCGGCTCGATCCCAGGACCCTGGGATCATGACCTGAGC